CTGAACATCCCAATATCCACTGAATGTCCAGTCCATGGTAGATCTATTTTATATCCATGAAATGTAATTTATAGACATGCAAATGTCCATAAATAATAGTAATTATATAGCAAATTATTAAAAAAATACGCCATTGTGCTCGCCATTGTGGCTAACAGTACCGTTCAGATATTTAAAATTAATTTTTTTAAAGGGTAGATGTTATTTGATTCTGCTTACTAAGTATAGATGGCGATACCACTATCGCATCTACTCATGCTCGACCCGCCGTAATTGAGTTCGATCGAAATGTGTGTCCTAATCACTCCATTAGAGACTGGAGTCGAGAATTTTCATTTATTGCTGAAGAGTCCTAATAAGGATGACTTTCTCCTATTTTAAGTATTGAAAATATTTTTTTATCTCTGCTATTTTCTTTCGACGTTATTCAATAATCATTGGTTACTTATGAACCTCTACTAAAGATACCCATAAAATATTTTGCTGAATATCCGAATATCTTCTATATCCTGGGATATAGACGGACATTTGGTTGGATATCCATATCGGATATATTGAATATCCACAAAATATATTCTGTGGATCTCTGTGATTTCTTGTATTTTCTGGAAGATACCCATTAGATATTTTGCTGAATATCCATTAGGATATCTTCTATATCCTGGATATAGACGGACATTTGGATATCCATATTAGATCCACGGAATATTTCTGATATCCTGTGGATATATTGGATATCCACAAAAGATATTCTGCGGATATCTCTGGGATTTGGTGTGTTGTCTGGGTACTCTTAGTTGAGAGTTATACAAATATTTTGAGAGCAATTAGACAATTTTTCGACTTTTAGTTCAGATTTTGATCTATCTCAAGGTTACAATTTTATTTTTGCATATCAACCCTTTCACCGACACCAAAATACTTGTAATATCATCTTAGATTCAGAAGAAAACGCGTTTATGCTATATCCCGAATTTAGTAGAAAAACGTAAATATCTGGTCACGTGGCCAAAATCCCTACACCGGAAGTAGAAAAACCGGACGACAGAAAATGTCTGCAAAGCGATTTTTTATTGTTATTGACGTTTAGAAGCATACAATGCTAGCCAAAAGTCCCTTCCGCCCTGTATATTTTAAACGGTTATACTTAAACTAATGAAATTTGAAAATGAATGGATATAAACTCCTATTGTAGCAGTTACTGGTGACGTTATCGTCATAGATGGCATCACAGTGTCAGTGTAACGAATAATTTTAAATGAGATCATATGACAAGTGATACCTCGTTTGAAAGGTATTTAAAAGATCTATTCAATCATCGTAATTTTGTTTGAGATTAAGGTTGTTTTGACGTATAATATTAATAAATAATAAATATTAATATTTCAATTTAGAGTATAATTATTACAAATTCAAGAGTCAAGCACTGTTTAATTGTCAAAAAAGTTGACGTTTCTTTAACCTTCTTACTTTTTCACGTCGGACACTGGGGCAACAGACCTTTAAAGTTGGAAATAAATCAATAATTAAAAAAAAATGGTAAAAATTAATTTCTATTACATTTCAATAAACCATAATCTCTTCCATCATAAATCGCTTATGTACGGTCATCAGTGATCCTTTAATTCAGAACAGAACCTTCAGCAAATGTGTTTTCTTATTATAATTTGTTCCTGGATTCTTGGACTAATGGTCCAACGGATTAATGAACTCTGTCGACTGGACTATGGAAAGTACGTGCCGTGATAACGTCCAAGAAAGTATATCTATTGCGCGGGATATTAAGAAAAGTTTTCAACTTGAGAAAAAAATTTACATACATTAAATGTTCAAGTTAAGATTGCTTATAACAAAACCTTAGTATCTAATCTACCTTTATCAATCCATAACATATTGGTCCTTCGAGCCGGATACAGAAGAAATGTAAAGAATAAATGTAATCCCAAATAGCACGGGACGTCCCATAGACATCACAATTTGGTCCCTTGTCGGTCCTGGACCTAAATCGAACGTCCATTGGACTTCCGAATACAGTAAACACTAGGACGTCTTTCGAAGGACGTTCTCTTGGCGTCATATTTTGGTCCCGCTTCGACAAAACGTTGTTTTCGGTCCGAGTCCAAGACTTTAATGGGACTTGTTATACCTAGATAGCATACGACGTCTGAAAAACGTCTTTTTTGTGTCTTGGTTTGGTCTCAATGTCCTAAGACGTTATTAAGACGTCTGGCAAAAGCCATAATTCAGACGTAATACTGTGAGAGCTCAAAGACGGCCTTAAGACGTCTTGCCAAATCCATATATTAATGTGAACGCTCAAAGACGTCCTACAAACGTCTTTTAGTCGGAAGGAATCTTGCACGGTTTACATAATTCAAATTTAATAAGAATCAAATGAAGTGAAATTTGACGTTTGACTATACAAGGACAACCCTGTTTTTTCGAGCTTTGTCAGGGAAATAAACGCACAACTAAGACAAAACAAAACTAAATACACAGATCAATTATTGTCACTAGACAAATTAAGCCAAACTTGCGGCATAATACCCATGGGGATAAGGAGGTCACAGCCATAAATCTCAAAGATAAACAATTCATTCTCCTCGTGACTGAACAGGACAACGATGGGCACCGTGCCCAATGGAAGAATGTACGATAACGGGTTTATGAATGACATGTAGATAATTTTATACAAAAATGAATAAAGACGTATTTAATAATAATAATTTGACGTTTGACTTAACATTACATTCAAGCCCAAACCAAAAATGTCTATGGCCCAAGCTTATTGTGGATTATTGATTATATTATTGCGTATGCGATTATAGGACTGGACATTTAGTGGATATTGGGATGTCCAGTAGATATCCAAAGGATTTGGTGTGCTGTCTGGGTAAATAATAAGAAACACATTAAATAATTGAGTTAGAGTAACGAAGAAGAAAAGAACGTTATATAGTGTTATTTCTTCTTTTTTTGATGTTAAAGTGAATGGGTGAAGTGAGCGTTTTGTGTTGAAGTGAGAATAAGTGATCTGTGTTGGCGATAGCATTGGCGAAAAGTGAGATCTGCTGTTGAAACAAACCTAATTTTGACAAAATTATAAAACTCCGTTATGTCGACACAAGATTTCATCTTACCTGCACTGCGTTAAATTCTTTTTTTTTTGTAAACTGAAAAGGTTTAACTCTAGTTAATCTTTCCAGGTTAAAAGTTATTAATTAACCCTTTTATTATTAACATTTTTTGTTATTATTATCCATTATAACGTCCTTTTGGGATGTCCCAGGACGTCCTTTAGGAACGGGACATTAGAACGTCCCATGGAAGTCAAATTTACGTCCCGGTACGTCCATGAGAGACGTTCTTTATACATCCATAAGACCTCTGTGTGACATGTGGGATGATGTAAATATGTTCATTTCATTACATGTGGGTATGTCATCCATTCCTAACTTTTAACATCTTTGGTAAAGGGCTTTACAACCTACTCGTTATAATTCCTAAATAGAGTGTAAGGAAGAGGCCCAGTACTGTAAATAAACCCTTACCCGATGAAATTTAGGATGAACACTGAGGAGAATGAAGAAATATATATAATCGACTGGAAAACATGTTAACAATTACCCTAAGGCGGGTAGCTGCAACGACTTTGGTAGAACCGGCCATCAGGTCATCCTTCTAGAGATTGTTCTGAAAGTTGATGGATTGCTAGTAGGCTCAATTTCATGTTCCTGGAGTGGTGACTATCTCTTTCTGATAACGAATGTAGCTGCAATATTGTCTTTACCATAGAAATGGACACGATGGATAATTCTGTGTTGGGCAATGTTGCAGTAGTACCAGAAATCTCCATTGGGCGTAACTGATACGTACAGATAAAAATATTAAAAAGTTATATAACAGTCATTTTCAATTTCAATTCAATTTCTTGATCGATAAGTTTTTAATTTTTTCTGTCGCCATATTGGATCCGTTATTTTGTATTTCTTTAAAAGTCATATTCAAAATCAGCGATCTCTAAAATTCTCCAGGTTTTGTTTTTATATTTTTGATATTTTTGAATAATTGATTATTTCGATTAATCCATTATTTCGATTATTTCGAATAATCGATTATTTCAAATAATCGATTATTTCGAATAATCGATTATTTCGTTTAATCGATTATTTTCGATTAATCGAAACTGATTAAGTAATTCGATTAATTGATTATTTCGAATATTTTATAATTGCCCAGCCCTACCCCTCCTACTCAACTACAAATAGAAAGCAAAAAACACGACGTACTATTTTTTACAGTTAGATGTTAAAAATCAAGAACTCAATGATGCTAAAGATAATCGTACAATTTTTGAAAAAATGAACAATTAGACCATTTTGAAAATGATTAATTAAGACCATCAAAGCGAATAAATGCCAAATACCGATCACAACAAAGATAACACCAAAAGTGAGATATTAGAGAGTTATTGCAAGTTCACTTAAGGTCAGTCACTATTAGTGCCGCTCTTATTTTGACGACCTGTCAAACTACTGACAAGTGGGAACTGACATTTTGATACGGCAACCGAGCCTGTTGTCATCGACACGATCAATGATACATACATAGTTATATAGATTGATCAAAGTGGGTCGGTTGCAAGCAGCCATATTGCCTCGCAAGTGCTTATTAATCAGAATCGATCTTGCAAAAATATATTTACAAACCAATATTTAACCTTTGAATATAGTAAAAAAATAATTACCTACATTTTTACTTCAAGGCATAAGCTATATTTATTTTAAAAAATATGGATGATCAATCTATGTAATTATCTATTTCATTGACTTTGTCAAATCACCAGGCCTACAGGATTGCCATAATTTTGCCATATCATAACTTGTCAAAACCCACTGGTAGCCATTTTGTTTGGAATGCCTAATTAAATCATTACATTTAGTATTGTTTCCGTATTTCTCTCTCGATACTCCCTGTAGATATATAACAAAATGAGATTTTATGTCGTTAGTCTTTATTTATACAAAACAATAGGTTAATCTATTTTTTTTTATTTAAAATTCAAAACCCCATTTGATTTGTGCTACAGCACGGTAGATTTTTAAAATCGAACCCTACAACTGGATCGGACTCCATGAAGGAAAAATCATTACCACCGTCAACTTCTTGACTAAAATCCGGTTGATTTAGCTTAAATTTGGGCATGTTTAATTGAAATGCATCCGATGAGGACATACGGAGTTTCTTCTTAATTGCGGATCGCTTTTCATCGGCAATGTTTCTGACGTTTTTTGCTCTTCGAGCACTAAAACTGTTTTCTTCTAATTTACGTTTCGATTCAGAAGGGAATTGCAGTGTTTCTCTGTTCGACTTTTTTGAAGGTCGTGCGAAAACGTTCATAAAGTCGTCTTTTTCTTTGGGTTGGGTAAAACTAAACTGAAAGAATAATTTTTATAAGAAAAACTGTTGGTGCGTGATGAGGACCAACGACGAAAAACTACAATAGTAGAATCGCAATCGAGACGGAGTAATAAATCTGTCAGATCATGAAATTGCAGGTGTAGGTGCCTATAATTATTATTTACGAGGTACATAAAATCATTATTTAAAAATATATTTTTTTGAATATGTATTATTTAGGTATGTAGGTTATTTGCAATTGTTATGTAAATGGTAGAGTTATTTGTTTGAATAAATTAACAAGGTATATAACAAATATTTTTCAAGACCTATAAATTTGACTACCTACATTAAATTGTTTAAATCGTTATTCATCATTGACTTCTTGGAAATTTTTGATGTCAAGGTGAAAGTTAATAACAAATGGAGAGGAAGGTTTCAGCTTAGATTATAGAAAGTAATCTGAGGGTTCAAAATCTATAAATATGACTACAATTGTATAAAAAAATGTAAATGGGATAAATCCTTAGATTATAGACATCTATAATCTAAGGGTTAATTGTTATTTTATCATTTTCTTGGAGATTACTAATGCCATGAAAAAACCGAAATGATAACAAGGTGGTAGGATTATAAGATGGTTACCTACCTAGGATTTGGTATGAAGATAAGATAGGCAGTGCAGTTAGTATCTTGATCAGTTCCCAATATTACCTACCCTGTTTGATTAGCCTTTTATATTATCTATTATAGTAAGAAGTTGTGGTTATTTACGGTTAATGGTGACTGCAATATTAAAAAATGCAGTGTGGTGCAAATTGAACGTTGACACCTGTGAAACGTATTAAAAAGTGTGCATTGTGTCAGTTAACGAGAAAATATTTGTAAGCAATGTTTATAATTGCCTAAGAATGGAAAATTCTTCGTTTTCTGTTGACGATACTGTTGAAAAGACAAGTAATATGATGGGTGTAAGCAAATCAACGATATATAAATTTATAAGTGAATTAAAAAGTGGAGTTGTTAAACCCCCAAAGAAAAATGCTAGAGGTAAGAAAAAAGTGTAATTTACTCAACAAATTTAAAGCGGACTAAAAAGAAAAGTTCACAAAATTGGGAAATGGGAAAGACAAAACTACGGGAAACTCTAATAGATTTGAAGTTCAAGTGGGATAAACATGATAGGAAAGAAGCAATAACTTGATATGTATGCTCTCCTCTCTCCTGTAAAGTTACCAAAACTCGACATATTAAGTCATGCCTTCTTACCACAGAATTTATTTGCCACCTTTGTGAGATTAAAAAGTTATATACATTAACACGAAATTTGTAAGGTAGGTTCCATTTGGGGTCTAGTTGGACCCATTTTAATGGGGTAAAAAACAACCCTTCAGGGGCAAGGAAAATTGGGGTAGCTTTAATAAACTTACAAACCAAAGCTTATGAGGTATTAAATTAAACTTAGTAAAGAGTTATAAAATATATATTTCCCAGTGATGCACTAAAGGGGTTAAAAAAAACAAGGGTAAGAAGATATAAATTATAGACCTTTCTGCATAAATTTAGCTAGTTGCATTTGTTTATTAAGATCTTAGCGATCATTTATAAAGTCTCTTATCTCATCTAAAACTGAGGAATCAATCTCAATACGTAATGTTTGGTGAATCCACTAATTATTCTCTATAGAAAGCCACAAAACGATTAAAAAGGACCACTGTGCAGAATGCTCCAATCATATGTACAGATGGCAGCTGAGCTAAAAATAATATACAAAAAGTTAATAGATTCGCAAAGCATTTACAAAATACCTTCCAACCAAATGAAGGAGAAGAATTACCGAACTGGGCTCCTCTAGAGAGAATGACTCAATTATCAGACCAACCTCTCCAAAGGAAATTGCAGAAGATACAAACAAAAATATTAATCCTAAGAAAGCGCCTTTGATTTAATTACAGGAGAAATCTTAAAACAACTTCCAAAGAAAGCCATAATTAAACTTACACACCTGTTTATTGCCTCATTCAAACTAAGGTATCTCCCTAGATTGTGGAAAGTAGCTGAAAGAAAACCTCGAAACGAAGTTTCGTCATATAGGCCAATATCTCTATTGCCTATAATATCGAAACTATTTGAAAAAATACTAATAAAAAGACTGAAACTCATCATTGAAGAAAGGAAACTAATTCCAGATTACCAGTTCGGCTTTAGAGAAAACCATTCAACTATAGATCAGGTTCATAGAATCTCAAATGCGATTAAAAAAGCATTAGAAAACAAAGAAGTCTGTTCAGCCATCTTCCTCGATGTTGTGTAGTATTTGAAAAAGTATGGCATGATGGCTTAAAACATAAACTGAATGTGCTACTTCTACAGCGGTACTCAGAGCTACTGGATTCATACATTTCAGATAGATTCTTTAGAGTAAAACAAAATGAAGCATACTCTGAATTGAAAGAAATTAAAGCAGGAGTACCACAGGGAAGCATCTTGAGCCCACTTTGTATCTGTTATACACTTGTGACATACCCCAACTAGAACAAGACATAATAGCTACATTTGCAGATGATACTGCCATCCTAGCAATAGGCAAAGATCATGAAGAGGCTGCAAATAAACTACAAACATCAGTTAATCAAATAAATAATTGGACCAAAAGATGGCATATAAACTAAACCAAACCAGATCTGTTAATATTAATTTTACTAACAAAAATGGTCAAAGAATATCAATTAACATAAATAATGTTCAGGTCCCTTATGCTAACTCGGCAAAATATCTAGGTATTACATTAGATGCAAGACTTCGCTGGAAGGTCCATGATGAAAAGAAAAGACAAGAGTTAAAAATAAAATTCAAGAAAATGTACTGGTTACTTGGTAGTTATTCCAGCCTATCTACATATAACAAAATTCTATTATATAAACAAGTTCTCAAACCAATTTGAACATATGACATTCAGCTCTGGGGTTGTGCCAGCTACAGTAATATAATAATCCAGAGATTCCAGAACAAAGTATTGAGGAACATTGTCGATGCTCCTTGGTAAATTAGAAACAGCCATCCTCATTGAGACCTTCAGATAGATACTGTTGTCCAGACTATCACCAGATTCGCTAGGAGTCACGAACAACGGCTACACCAACATGTGAACGTTGAGGCGATCCAGCTTCTTGACAACAAGAACCTGACAAGAAGACTCAAGAGAGTGAAACCATTTGAATTAACCAAGTGATTATGTTAATAACAAAGCGAAGCATTGTGTGGTTTAGTGTTACACGTTAGTTTAGTGTAATTAAGTTATCAGACCCTAAGGTATACTAGAGAGTAGAACTTTAGTTTTTAAGATTGCAACCCTAGTTAAGGTAGTTCACTCGCGACAGTCGTACATAAAAATATCGCTTAATGGTGAATACCAATAGTTCGAGATTCTCAATGCTATCAATTTTATTTTTGTAAGAGACTGTACAAAACACATGTAAGCTTATACAGGGTGAGTCGGGAGGAGCGCACCAAACTCTAGGAGTATATTATACACGTGAAAATAATGTAAAAAAACTCATATGTTCTTATCCGATTTTCATTTGTTTTCAAGTTATAGCATATTAACAAATAAACAAATTTACATATAAAAATTCTCTTAATCATAGCGTTCTTTCAATAAATGTTCAAAAATACCGCCATTGACTTCTAAACATTTTCTGCTTCGTCTACGAAGAGCGTTTGTTGCTCTCCTAATTGATTCATTTCATTCTTCTTTAATATGGGCTGCAGTATTCTCAATTCGTCTAATTAGTGCATCCCGTGTGTCCACTTTTATTTTGTAGACTTCATTTTTCATCCAGCCCCATAAACAAAAATCTAATGGTGTGAGGTCTGGAGATCTTACAGGCCAATTAATAGGACCTCCACGACCAATCCAACGCCCTGGAAAACGTTTGTCCAAATGTTGCTTGACCTGACGAGCGACATGTGCAGGAGCTCCATCGTGCTGATAGTACATCTGCATACTAATATTTACATGAACATCCTCTAGCAGGCCTTGTAATTCATTTTGTAAAAAATTGAGGTAGTTGTCTCCTGTGAGACGATTCTCCAAAATGAAAGTGCCAATTAAATAACTGTCAACCATACCACACCACACGTTTACAGAAAACCGATGTTGAAAATTGCTTTAGACTGTTGCGTGGGGATTTTCGTCTGACTATACATGATAGTTACGAGTATTGGGTAAATGTAACTTCATCCGTAAAGAGTATACTCGATGCAACACGATGATTATTATTTATCCACCGACAAAACTCCATACGGTTAGCGTAATCCTGTGGTTGTAGGTGCTGTACTCTCTGTACGTACCTTGCTCGTGGAGTGTGTTTATCACTCTATTTTGTGGAATTTCCAATTGAGTAGCAATTCTCCGTGAGCTAGTAGTTGCATCTTCTACTAGATGCAGAATATTTTCTACTTCTACAAAACCTTGTCGAGTAGCGCGTTCAGATGTTATGAAAGCACTGGGAAGCTTACCAGTCTCGCACAATTTGTTGAAAACTCTAATAAATACGTTTTTATCAGGATGTCTTCGGTGTGGAAAACGTTGACGATATTCTTCACCAGCAGCTGTAGCATTTCCATTACAGAAACCATAAACAAACACCATATTTGCATATTCTAAATTTGAATAAGTATCTGGCATTTTGCAACACTAACAGCCGTATGCATAGTCGATCGCCAGCGACTCGCCAGAGATTCATTCCGGCGTTTCGCCAGCAATTCGCTGGCTATCCGCCGGCGAAAGCCCAAAAAGGTGGCGTCTCGCCGGAGATTGTCACCGAAATGTCATTTCACGCAAGTTTTTATTTTCTTTTATAGGGATTATCACCGGTATCTCTCGCATTTTATTCATGATTCATTTCTTAAAACTCAAAAAATAATGAACGAATATCAAATTTTTCCCTATAAAAGAACATGAAAACTTGCGTGAAATGACATTCCGGTGACAATCTCCGGCGAGTCGCCAGCTTTTTGGGCTTTCGCCGGCGGATCGCCAGCGAATCGCTGGCGAGTCGCTGGCGATCGACTATGCATACGGCTGTTACAATCACATAGATTCGAAATTAAACGTTCAGTTACTGTTCACTGTACACTGACAATTCATCAAAACGTCAGAATTATCAAATGCCTTTGAGCCTTGAACATATGGCATACTGTGATAATGTTAAAATTCAGAAGTGGAAAGCTAGATGAACATTTTTAATTACGCCATAACTTGAAAACAAATGAAAATCGGATAAGAACATATGAGTTTTTTTACATTATTTTCACGTGTATATATACTCCTAGAGTTTGGTGCGCTCCTCCCTACTCACCCTGTATATATGGATTTTAATAAAATCCATCCGGCAACCTCATAAATATACCAATGGTTTGCTATAGAAATTTGTGACTTCCTCATATTAATTTTAAGGGTTTGTTTTGGTTCAAACAGAACAGCTGATTCCAGTTCTCAAATACAGAGGACGACTTAATTTTTCAAGAAAAAGTCGCGAGGTAATAACATCCTCTTAGCTGATCGAGTGTTATTTTAGTACAACGCGTTGATTGCAGCGTATACAACGTTACCAAGTTGTATTAATTTTACGCAACTACGCGTCGATTGCTTTAAAAATATTTTTATTTTAAAAATCTATATCTTTTTACTAAGACGGTCAAAAAATTCAGAGTTTCTTTAGAAAATTTTATAACTTCTTGATTTACATTACATTAGTTTTTAAAAAATATGGTAAGAACCGTTTTCGAGATATCTTGAAATAAATGCATTACTTGTGTACATGAGAGGCTTCAAGAGTGTTAATTATGCACATTTTGATTGTTAATATCTCGTTTCACAGACGGTCAAAAAATGTAATTTTTTTTAGTTAAATAAAAGACACTTTCATTAACTTTATATTTCAATTTTATTGAATTCTTAAGAAAGGCCGTTTTACGAGTGAACTACCTTAAGTTAGGTTATAACAAAATTACTCATTGATCATATTGAGTGTTTTTTGACCAAAAAAAATACTGTACATTTGTACATCCAAACGGTCTTTTAATAAGGTATCTGATAAAATGTCATAATGTTTCCAAGCAGCTGCAAAGCTGCTATACTCAAAGACATTAGCTACAATGGTTCGGATAAAGTAAAAACATAATTTCTTCAAAAATGATTAGGACCACCATTAGGATTAATTTTTTTAGAAAGACCGTTTTGTGTTATTTAATGTAAATTGAGATTTTTTTTTTATTTAACAATTAACGTGTCTCAACAGCTATGGTTATTGACACGATACAATGAAATATAATAAACTATAATTTACTAGATACATAATATCAACTTTCTAAAAAATTAAATTAAATTATACAAGTTGGTATGCTGCAGAAAGTTTATCAGTCTTGGGTACTGTTCGGGGACTCCAAGGATATCTTTCAAAGAGTTTCCCAATCCATGGCTTTTGCGGGCTTCTTCATATTGTGGACAGTCTACCAGTATGTGACTTATAGTAAGATTGATATTATCGCAATATTGAGAATTAAATAAAAAAATTAATTTGAGTAATTAAATACTTACAGCATTATCACAGCAAGCTGCAGCATTTTGACTAGGAAAATAATTTGGAATTGGAAAAGTTAATGTACTGGGACAGGGTCCCATATCTACATCCATTTCTTCAGTATTATTTAAGGTAACTAAATGATTCATAAATTTTTTATTGTATACTACGTCGTTTCTTCCTTCGACATTACTTAAATCACCTACGTTCGCGTTCAGTTCGAATATTTGAGTGTGTTTTTTGGTAGTATATATAACGGCTGGTTGCATTAATTGATTCTCTTCAACTCTAGGTGGTATCATTTTTTGTCTTTCTGGCGTCTGATACACCCATTCTGATTTCGAATAATATTCCCAATTAGTATCGTCACTTTCTTCCTGTTCATAATAGTATTCTCTACGTTTTTCTGGACAGCTCGTCTCCATCTTGACTTTTCCAGACAGAATGTTCTCCAGCTTCCTAATTTCCGAAAATATTTTTGATTTGCAAGCTAACAAAGTCTTCGGACTGAACGCGATATTTTTATCGAGCTGTTTAAGTAATAAACTGCAAAATTTTAAGTTGAAATCGTTTTCATGTGACGTATTACTTAACTGGCGTTTTAATTTTTGACTCGACTTTATATACAAGTCGTTGATTTCGTCAAATATGCTTTTGGATCGTTTCAGGGTGTGTTTTCCCTTCCTCTCCTCACGATTGTGCGGGTTTAAAATGTCGTGGTTTTCATATGAATTCAATTTTAAACCATTATTAAAAACTCCTTGGAAATCTTCTTTTGGAGCGGAAATAGGTACTGGATAATTTATTTCGTCACCTGTCATAATAAAATCGGTTTTAATATACAATGTGAGCCTCTAAACTACTGCACGATACCTTAGTCTGAAAAATCTATTAAATAAAACTAAGCATGTATGTTTTTAAGGTTAGGTTCACAAATTCGTATCTTTGCCCCCTGGAAAAAAATTCTAGTGGCGCCCATGCAAATATACCGGGTTTTATTTAAAATATTGACTTTGGTGGTGACTGATTTGTGGCTGTGTCTCCATGTGTATTAAAACAAAGAAAAAAGTTTCTAACTTTAAAAATACCTTAAATATACACGATGATTCATAAGGAATAGTCAATATTTTAATCATAGACCCCAAAATATTAATATTTTGCTAAATATTACCTTTATGAGACTATTAAGTATTTTTTCTACACCCGTATTATAATAATGCACTTATATGCCCATAATCCGTTTCATAATGATACCCATTATGATACAGATTTTTCATTACGATACAGATTTTTAATCAATAGAAACCTACAATTTTTCAATCAAGCATGCTGTTTGACGTTTGTCCTAGGTTCCTATGTAATTATTTTAGTTGTCAAAACGTATTAAATTTTCGTAGGTAGCTAAACTTCGATAATTATAATATTAAAATGTCTGATATTAGCGATATAGAAGACTCCTCCACACATATCGGAGAAAGCAGAAAATACAGTACAAAATATTTTACCGCAAAAATCTAGGGAAATACCAATACCTGAAGTAATACCATTAATTACAATTTTGTAGAATTTTTTATAGAAATACGAGTAATTACTGTTATTGTGTTCAATACCAATATAAATATAATATTTATAGGTCTTGATTATTTATCGGGTGTAGAAAAAATAGCGTATGCAACTCTCATGTAATGGTTATTACATGATCGTTGCATAATATACTATTGTGTTCTTAGTATAATCAAGTTTTGTAGTTTAAATTTTGAAAAATAGGTAATTTCCAGTTCATATAATTTTTATAATTTATTAGAAAACTCAAAATAAAGGTATTGTAAAAAAATACGCGATTTAACAGAAGAAATTTTAAAATATAGGGCGAGAAAAAAGCAATGTTTCCTCATTTTATTTGCTACATATCTTTTGAATCATACCAATAAAAACTCCCAGGCCAGATATTTTGGTAAGTAATAGAGATATTTTAATTTTGTAAAAGCCAGTTCATAGAACACTAAGAGAGCTTCAATTTTAGATATAAATAAATTTTAAATAGTGCCACGGATATTGGTACTATAGCCACTACCAAATAAATGTATAAAAGAAATCAACTGTCAATAAAGCTCCTTCTTCTAACGCTAAACTTAAATGAGGTAATAGTTTGATTTTACCTAATAACCACGCTCCTATTTTCATAAGATAATCATCACTTCAAATCTATCTATATACAGGGTGTCCCAATGATAAGTAGCCCGTTTCCATTTGATAAAATTTGGTTACGGTGAATTTAAAAAACACCCTGTATAGGTAATACATAATTTCTGTATCACTGAAGCAAAACTTACAGCAAAATAACACATATTAGCAAAAACCGCACGTTTTTACGACTTGTTTAAAAGTTAGAAGCTCTGGAAATGGGCAACTTTTCAAATAAATAAAAATAAATAAAAATAAATAAAAATAAATAAAAATAAATAAAAATAAATAAAAATAAATAAAAATAAATAAAAATAAATAAAAATAAATAAAAATAAATAAAAATAAATAAACATAAATAAAAATAAATAAAAATAAATAAAAATAAATAAAAATAAATAAAAATAAATAAAAATAAATAAAAATAAATAAAAATAAATAAAAATAAATAAAAATAAATAAAAATAAATAAAAATAAATAAAAATAAATAAAAATAAATAAAAATAAATAAAAATAAATAAAAATAAATAAAAATAAATAAAAATAAATAAAAATAAATAAAAATAAATAAAAATAAATAAAAATAAATAAAAATAAATAAAAATAAATAAAAATAAATAAAAATAAATAAAAATAAATAAAAATAAATAAAAATAAATAAAAACAAATAAAAATAAATAAGTACTGCGTGCAATCTGGTGATATTTAGCGTACCAGAAAAGTGGCATAAAATGAGATTATCAATTAGATTAATATATTTAAATATTAGAATAGTCTAATTAACATTAATCTATTGTTAGAGTCAGCGAATTAGGATATCGCCGCCACTGGGGTCGACGGTACCGCGTCTGCCTTGTTAGAGTCAGCGAATTAGGATATCACCGCCACTGGGGTCGACAATACCACGTCTACCCGTTTGAGTGTTCAGGACCCCACGAGAGAGCGCCGAGAGCGGGGTCTTGACGTTCGACCAGCCGAACGCTAGGAAGTGATAGGCAATATGCCGTTAAAGACATTCTTTATTTTGTTCCTTAATTAATTACATTTCAAACATTGTTTACGAGATATTTAATAAAACGTTATAAAACCATGTTAACACGAGTTTTATGAAGTGGCTATACAGGGTGTTATAGTATACAGGGTGCTAAATCATTTAAAAACAATAATTTTGAAGTTAATTCCTTTAACTTCTAACATCAGAAGTGGGATCCTGTTTACGTTTTCACATTTAAAACGAAGTGTCTAAAAGTGTATCAAGGATGATTTATAGATGTTGCACAGTTTCAAAAACAGCAGAAAAACTCCAGAACAAGTTGATTTGCTTTTATTTTGGTCAGATACCGACGATTTTAAGGTTTGGATACAACAGTTCAAAAAGATAAAGAGAAATTTGAGTGGTAAGACCAGCAGATACTGGTAAGAGTTGAACGCTTTTTATTGATCGATGCTAAAATATGGTTTGATAATTGGTCTCCAACATTAAGAGATTGGTCTAATTTTAAACTTTTACACAGAAAATGGTAGTTTCTTATATTGACAGCTCACTTTGTAAATCTTATACAGCTTACGTTCATAAAAAAAAGGATTGCCTTATTGAAAAAAATGTAATTTTAAATTTGAACTTCATTCAGTCATTTTCGCATAGAAAATTGTTGGAAGATTATTTTTTAAAGCCTCTACTTTTGACAGCTCAACCTAATTTTTATACATTTTATGTTCAAAACAAAAATTCATTTCAAATTTGAACTTGTAAGAGTAATAATTTTAATAGAGAAAATTGTAGCCTCTTCTTTTGACAGTTCTCTCTAATTTTTATACTTGTTTATGTTCAAATTAGAAAGGTTACTTTAGTGGAAAATTTGCGTGCTAATCGAAGTACAGAAGGTTTAATTTTTTTAACTGAAAAAATTGTTTACGGGATTCATGAAATGTACAAGAATCCGTTACTATTAGAGATTTCAATTCAATTAACAATTACGGATTTAATTTCATATTTACGCACCATTCCAAAATGTGTATCTGGATATAAAAAAAAAGAAAAAATAATAATAATAATAATAATAATGTGTAAGAAACAATAATTGTTTCTCTAAAACAAAAAAAATTCAACACTCTCAGAATTTTAAACGAGATAAAAATTGATGTCGATATTGCCTTAGCTAGTAAAAAAAAAATAAACAAATGTATTTTTTGATTTAAGTCAGGTCACGTAACTGAAAACTGTTTTCTTAAAGACTCAAAGATAAAACACAACAAATTAATTTTGTTTCTTCAGAGCAAAGCAAGTGTGCCAATGGAAATAAACATTAATCAACCTATATGGGTTTATTGATACCGAGCTTAAGTACCCTCTGATGTGTGAAACATTTATTGAACAGTCCGGGTTAATTTACAGGAAATTTGTATTATGGGTATAACTTGAGACAGTTTATTTCAAAATATAAGTTCGGAACAGATGTTAAAATTACAGGCAAGCCAGCTCAGTCTAGGTACATGTTTAATGTTTATGTTACTGATTATAATGATATGTAGATACATATTATGAAGCGATAGTTACCGGATATTTTAAGAATGTCCGTGGATTTTGGAATTACTTTAAATCAATTAAAAGTACTTGAACAATATCGAGATCAATTATGTCAGATTATTAAAATAAAAATTACTGGTTTACTAGTGTTTTGTTTCTGCAGTAAACAACTGTGCTATGGAAATTAATTTAATTAATAATTTTATTGCCATGTCGACTTTTAGCTACATTGTTTCACAGGGTTTGATTTATTTTAAGTTTTAGTAGCCTTAGGAAAAGCACGGTTTTTCCTAAATATTTGAAAATGTTTTCACAAACAAAAAAAAAATTGATTTTCTTGGATGGAAAATTTCCGCCGAAGATGGTAGATCGGAGTAGAGAAATGGTAGATCGGAGTAGAGAAAAATAGAGGCGTTGACAAAAATTTCGTCTCCGAAAAATGTTAAACCAGTCAGGCTTTCGCCGAGCGGGTTATTATTAGTGATTGCTTTGCAAGACTTTATCAATTTTTTGAAACTGAAGGCAAAGTAAATGTTTTGTTTTGACTGCTTTGATTTTTATTGTTGCAGGGATGAAATAATAAGCCTTGAAACATGGAGTCAGCATACTTCCATGTTTAATGTTATGTTTTATATCTCAAGGATGAAGTAATAAGCCTTGAAAGGTGGGGTCAGCATACACCCATCTTTAATGTTACATTTCATGTATTAAGGACGAATAATAAGCCTTGAAAGGTGGGGTCAGCATACACCCATATTTATTGTTATACTTTATGTATTAAGGCCGAATAATAAGCCTTGAAAGGTGGGGTCAGCATACACCCATCTTTAGTGTTATTTTTTTGTTTCAAGGGCGAATAATATGCCTTGAAAGATGGGGTCAGCATACTCCCATGTTTTGTCTCAAGGGCGAATAATATGCCTTGAAAGATGGGGTCAGCATACTCCCATGTTTTGTCTCAAGGGCGAATAATATGCCTTGAAAGATGGGGTCAACATAATATGGAAATATTTATATCAATGTTATGTGGTACATTGAATTAGTAAATAAATTTGCTTTCAAATAAGGTGTGACACTTTATAATACGTACAGTTTTTTATCCCGATAGAGGGCGGTACAATTAAAAGTATCGCAATAAACAGTTATATTTCTAAATATCCCATGAAATTACCTTTTTAATGATGTACTACATACGGTAGCGTCACTCTCTATATAATAAGTATTAGTTTTTTATCCCGCTAGAGGGCGCAAAAATTTAAGTAACGCAATGTACAGACATATTTCTGAATCCCCCATTAAATTACCATTTCAATGATACATGGTACATTACCTATTTAAAATTAAGGTGTTGGAGAAGTGAAAGGGAGGGGGTTGACACATGACAGATGTCTGTTTTGTAAATATGTGTTCAATTTTGAATAAAAATCGACCTGTTTTAGCATTTTCTTAAAATCCAATGATTAATGCTAAAAAACAGGATGAAACTTTTAAGTGACCCACTCTGTATATAAAAAATGGCTAGATTTATCTAGCTATCTAGCTAGATTTAGTTCATAGAACAAAATCTGCTTAAAAATGCATTTTTTACAAGATGCCCTACAAAAGAAAGATCCTCCCATCGAAAAAAAATTATTGATCACAGCGCCATCTACATATTGACCTATTTAAAATTAATTTATATCTTAAACTAAGCTGTCTTAGTATTCTGTGAACTGGTTTTTACAGAATTAAAATATCTCTATTTCTTACCAAAATATCTGCCCTGGGAGTTTTTATTGGTATATGGTTTGTAAATTATATATTTTTAGAGGTTTATTATTATTACCATGTAATAAAAAATCTGATGTGTCCAACACATGACTTTCCTATCTAGTTATTACAGGCTTTTTCCGGTTATTTTGTACAACCTATTGCAGCACCTCCATAAATGTTTAGAGGATAAAATAAATATATACATTTTCCACATACATCTACCTCGAAAAATTTTTCTATAGATATTCATTGAAAATGAAAATACTGAAAAATTTAAATTTAGCACTTTTCCTACAATTTTTCCATTACGGTCCATTTTAGAAAAATTATGTATAAACAAAAATTATAGAGATCGATATCGCAAACAACTTTTATTTCAACAATTTTCATAAAAATCAGAATTTTGCACATTTTGTCAAATTTCTCGAATACGGACCATTTCAGGAAATGTTGTCATAAAGCAAAAATTATAGATAATAATTAGAAATAACTTTTATTTGAACAATTCTTTTCTGCAAACATAAATAACAGATATATTCCATAAAATATAAAAACGGCCCCCCATAAAGTACCCCCCCAGATGTTCCGACTTTGTCCAAAATCTAACCATTTCACGTCAGGCCGAAATAAAACTTAAGTTTAAAATTTAATGATTTTTTCTTTATCCGTTTTTGAGTTTTCTTCAAATTTCGAAATTTACACATTTTCTCAAATATCTCGAATACGGTCCATTTTAGAGAAATTATGTATAGGATAAAAATTATAGAGAATTATATTACAAACAACTTTTGTTTGATTAATTTTTATAAAAAAACATTTTTTTACATTTTGTCAAATTTCTCGAATACGGACCATTTTAGGAAAATTTTGTATAGAACAAAAATTATAGATAATAATATAAGAAGTAACTTTTATTTGAAGAATTTTCTTCCCCAAACGTAAATAACAGATATATTCCATAAAATATAAAAATTACCACCTATAAAGTACCCCCCCAGATGTTCCGACACTGCCCAAAATCTAATCAGCACATTGGACGCTGGGACAAAGCTTAAGTTTAAAATTTGGTGTTTTTCTGTGTATCCGTTCATGAGTTATGCGACACACACACAGACATCATCGCAAAAATAGTCAAAACGGATTCAGGGGACCTCAAAACGTAAAAATCCGTTGAAAACTCGAGGTCGAAAAAAATCATGATTCCTATACTTTCCTTATATCTGTATACAGATAGGAAAGTAAAAATAGATAAATTTTAATAATAGCAGCAAATCTACCAACTTTTTTTACTCGCCAGGTATAAAATGTGTTTCTAATTTTAGTTATTTAAATCTAAGTTATATGAATTTGAAGTATAATCCCATTCTGGATTAATAATAAAAATTCAATTTTCAATCATTTTTGACTCACTCTGTAATTAATAATATTTTAATAAGTCACATGTTATAGTGAAAATATTCTTTGATATCAGTAAAGAAATATTCTTGGAAAATATCTGTCATTATTAAAGTAATTTGTTAAGAAGCACTGCATTTAAAAAATGAACTATTTGCAACTTTCAACGCCCTGTATATCAAAAATTAGTAATAAAATTGAATTAACACCCTGTATCTCAGAATGGAATTACATTCAACTCAGTGTTATTTAGCAAAATATTAATATTTTGATTTCCTGAACTTCTGGTTTAAATATTGGTCATTATGCTTATGAAACGCCCTGTATATATCCGAAATTTTCGAGCGACGCCCGGTATAATTAAATATGGATCTATATGGTTTTCAGGGACCTAAGCTAATTGAGTTATTGGGGCCAATGCTATAATATGTTTGAGAGGGTTTTTACTAGAGGTAACCAGTACTTAATAAAACCAAAACAGCCAATTACATTTTAAAATAAAAAAAAAAATGGTGAAGTAGGTATATTAATATATATTAATAGAAGGTAATAACCCACCAAAGAATTTTTACTTATCATTTTATAGGTAAGTACTACCCCCTAGACTTAAACTCTGGATGTACCACTGTTATTTCATTAAATAATATATTTGATTAAACCTATTTAACATGCTTTAAAATAATATATGCATCTGCCTTTTGCTTCAGCCTAGTCAGCCATTGTATGGATCATATTTTCCTTTAGCAAAGAGAAATTTGTATATACCTATGTAAGTACCTACTTAAATTATGCATGTAAAAACTTGCAAAATTTTGGAAGAGTCAAAATTGTGATAAATATCGATTGTTACACAAAAATGTACATCTTCATTGTGTAAAAATTGTTTTTCTATTTAATTTTTTAGAAATAAAGTATCAAAAAAATAAAAAGGTATGTTGCCACTTTTCATTTCTTTATTTCATAACAATTATGATTTTGATTGAACGTATTTTTAATGATTAATTACTTATAACCGGTGGCGTAGCGTATAGTGGGCCAAGGGGGCGACGCCCCCCCTTCCCACAATTTGCGTTTAGACCACCTTTGGTCCCCCCTCTGAGGGCGCCCCAGAAAAGTTTCGCCCCCTCCGCATTTCTGCCCACGCTACGCCACTGCTTATAACTAATATTAAAAATATTAAAGAGGATAGAGTACAATGAAAAATCTACTTACTGGAATTACTCAAGTTCTCTTGACCACTTACACCAACTATATGATTATGATTCGTTTTTTGAGCAGATTTTTTTATTATCCTTTCAGATCTTCTTATATTCAAACATTTATCAAAAAGTCCATGAAAATTATCCACGACGCAATTATCTTTCCCTTCTTTGGATTCTTTGCCTATTAATAAAATGAAAAATCTATGTATACCTGTAAAAGTTTTGCATTAAATACTTACCTTTTGAACTATTATAAGAAGTAGAAGCTACAACTCCAGTACGAAAGAATTCAGGTGGTATCTACAAAAGCTCTTTTGTGAAATAAAGCAGGGAAATATGGAAGAAATGTACTTACCGTGAGACGTTGTGATATATTATTTCCCTCCAATTTTCTCGATTGGCCAGCACGTTTTTCGCTCGCTTTTTGACAATCTTTTCTTTTCCTTGTTGGCCTTTTGTTAATCTTGTACATTTTTATTTACAAAATTCCTATTTAACTTCTTTAATTACGTACCGGCTAACTCGTATAATTTCAAATAACTATAATAGTCAAAAAGTCAAATAACATATGATTTTGACATTAAACAATATGATGAAAACTCACCAGACAAGGGTGCCTTATTAATAATAGCTATCTTTGTTTCTCAAACAAAATAAATAAAACAGGAACTATCATTATTACATTACCTGTTAAGGTTAAATCATTGGTCTAAGGGTTCAACAAAATAAATAAACATTGTGCAGGGATGGCTTCAAAAAAAATGAATTCGTAGAAACAAACGATTTCATATTTGATGCAGATTTCGAAGGATTTTATGTTTTATGTTTTTTAGGATCAGGTAAAATCTCCAGAGGAAGATAATATTCAAAGGCTGGGTACTCGTCTCGTCTGAATACTGTTAACGTTAAATGGCTGCAAGCGATGGATCGACTTTTTATTTTTCTATGGATCGACTATATACAGACGAGAGCACAGGTGCAAATGAGTCATTTGGGCTGGACTGGTTAGTAGGGGGATAATGAAAATAAGTTTAGAAGAGCAGATAATTAAAATAAAGACGAAATTAATTTTTTTTATTTAATGGACATCAACTTCGCGTCGATTGGGTTTATTTCTTTGTCCAGCTAGAAATCCGGATTTTTACCATTTACATTGAGATTTGCTGGTAAATATTATTCGGATAGGTATCAAAACAGTATCTGCTTTAAGGGTAAAATTATTTTTTATTGCTGTAGAGATTTGTTTTGAACAATGTGAACATCAGTTTCTGCATTTTTTGTAAACTTATAAAACTCGAAGCGTGAAGAAAAAATATCAATTTGTAAGCGATGTTTATAAAACAACGATAAGAACATTTGGGAATTGGACCGCCTCGCCTGCGACGCGGGGACATTCATTAATAATCCTTCGCTCCAATACGTTGAGTCGAGTCAAACAACTATTACTGTATTGCGTTATTTTATTATTATAGTTTTGTTCATCGAATTTCATACGGGGTGTTTCATTTATTTTATATTCCTCACAAATTAATAGTTTTAATAAGACGATATATGAAATTGTGGCACAAAGCTTAATAAGGACAAGTGTGGAATAGGTTTTCTGCACGAGTACCACACTATACTTTTTCTACGACCACGCAATGACTAATATTTATCGTTTTTCATTGAAAAAATCTATATATTATTTTAAACCTAGCTTTCAGGAAAACTAAACATTGTTGTTATTGTATGAATGGATATAAATGACTGATTTAATACACAAAGATTTATTGAATTTAAAATACAATAGTGTGAATTGTTTCTGGTTTAAAAGATTGTTTATTGTTGAATAATGAGTCAAGGAAAAAAACTAACTGGCACGTATCATCAGATTTATATCACGACGCATATCGAATTATTTCCATGCTCGTTGCGAATTCGACAGCATCTTGGTGGTCTGCCTTGCAGGGCCAGAAGAGGTCTTTGTTCTAGGCCGAAACAATTATATTGAAGTGTGATATGTTCCATTACTTTCCTGCGTTTAGTTGTAATGGAAATAAAACGTATAAATCTTTAGTTTTGGAGGAAATTAGTAGGCAAATCAATGCTTTCACGTAGTTTGGATACCATAAGTCAAAGTTATTTTTTCGAGTATTTAAAAAAAACTTAAATCGTCTTTCCCCTATAGGCAAAACTTTAACAATAGTTTTAAATATTAAAATTAATGCTAGTATATTTTTCCCGAAAACTATGTTTAGAGTAACATTAATGTCATAAGAAATTGTAATTATTAGTGTTTTCTACAACCAGAGTAGCCAAAATTTAATGATATTATTGTTTCATGCTAACATTGAGGCGATATACTAAGTAGAAGTAATGTAATTTTGTTGTAAAAAGGGATGAGTTTAATAATAATATGATTAGAACATAAATACAAGGTGGCGCAAAATCAAGTACCCTATGGAATGTTGTCATGGTTTCGTTTGAGGTTGACATCTGTTCGAGTTTTTCTGTCAGTTGCAAAGTAGTGTAAGAATGATTTTATTTTCTATACAATATTATTATTTATTTTACGAAACACTCGGTTCTTTTTAAACGCACCAAATATTTGTCTTCCAAAACAGCCACAAAGTTTACGTTAACACCATTAAGATACGGAGGTATCGAATTACGAATATGGGAACTAAGGGTAAAATATCGAAACAGGCATAAAATACAGATCATTCTGAATTTGAGTTAGTTACTTTACGGAACAAAATTAAAGTTCGTTCCAATAATAATAATAATAATAATAATAATAATAATAATAATAATAATAATAATAATAATAATAATAATAATAATAATAATAATAATAATAATAATAATAATAATAATAATAATAATAATAATAATAATAATAATAATAATAATAATAATAATAATAATAATAATAATAATAATAATAATAATAGTAATAAAAAAAAAACTGGTGAATATTAATTTTTGTGAGTGGCTGTTTGCTGAACAGGGTGAGTTTTTCTCACTGAGTAATTATATTTTATCAATTAGTTTTGTTTTAATTTGTAATCAAGTTATTTTGCAAATTATATTACACAATTATTATCCATTAACCTTTTATAGTTAATTTGTCAATTCTGACGTAAAGATATTTTGTCAAGTATTGAGAAAACCTTATATCCTAAATTAACGGGGTTATATTAAATAATTAAAACTTATTTGAATTTGACTATTTACTTATATTTTGTTTTCCTCTACGAGGTGTAATCAAAAGTAAAGTGAGTTAGATTGTCTGTTCTGGCGTAGTACATTGCGGTCAGTGTTTGCGTTTATTTAGGGATTATTCCCGGAGTCGTCGCACCATGGTTGGTGCGGGCTAGTGGCATTGCGGTCAGTGTTCTAGTAATGGCTTTTTATATATCGATCGATGTTTGGGCATTGCGGTCAGTGCCTACAGAATTGAGAATATAACTTTTTGTCAATTATGGAAAATTTGAAGTTGTGTCAATTATATTTTTTTTTTATAATCAATATTTTGACATATTTATCATGTATAATTTTCTTGTTAATTAAAAGGATAATAAGTATTTTATTTATGGATATCACCTTTTCATGACTTTCTTTAATATAAAGCTACCTTTGGTAAACTTGATTGCTCATACTTGTTTTTCTTTTATTTCAGGTACGCCATCTCATAAGGGCATTAATTACATCTCATAAGGGCATTAATTACATCTCATACGTGCATTAAGTATTTTATCTATTTTATTTTAATATTATTTTATTTGCATTTTTTTTTTCATTTAATACTTATTTCTAAATAATTTTATTTTGTTCTATATTTTATATTTCAATTTAAAGTTATTAAATCGTTTATTGAATTAATTTCTAGTTTTTCCTGACATAGATTAAATAACTAAATATTACCGCCCAAATTTATAATAGATATTTTTAAATTACAAATATCGTCCTATAGTAGATACTTGGGAAATTCATTATGAATCGATATACGCCTCGAGAACGTGCCGAAATCGTAAAATTTTTTTATCAAAATAATTCGTCGATTATCTGAATTTTTCCTGGACGCCTTATCTCGAAAAACGCCGATATTGCATATCCGCCAAGGTCTCCCGATTTAACTGTTCCAGACTTTTGGTTACGGGATTATCTCAAAGATAGGGTATTTGTAAATAATCCTCGAACAAGCATTAAAAGACAATATCCGGGAAGAAATTGACAGAATACCACCTTAAATGTTGGATAAAGTTATGAAAAATGCTTTAAAAAGAGCTCATTATTGAATTAATGCTGGGGGTGGCCATTTGGTCGATATTGTTTTTAGTGTGTAAGAAAACAAATTTTTAGAGTTTAAATATAGTATATTACATTACGAATGTGGAAAATCACTTTTCACACAAGTGATGTACAATATTTTTCCTACGACCACAAAATAATGTCATCAAAAAAATGTAAAATCAAGGTTATTATTACTATAATAATTAAAAAGTATTTAAAAAAATAATCAACAATAATCGTATTTATTCAATTTAAGTGGTCGTAGGAAAAATATTTTTCATTTATAATATGACTGTTCTTTAATTATTAATCTTACTTATATAAAAAACAAATAGGGGACTTTATTTTGCGCCACCTTGTATATAAGGTATTGCATTACGTACTGTACAAACTTAAATTCCTGAGTACATTCTCCATGGTTACCGCGAGCTATAAGCTTTCAATGATCTGAAGATAAATTAACGTGGTATGTTATGTTTTCAAAATTTTTGGATGTTTATTAAGAATTATAAACATATCAGTTGAGTAGTCAGTCCTTTATTTGCTTAGTGCGAAGTCATGGTAGGGGAAGCAAAAGCGATACTAACGCTAGCTGCGGATAATTCATGCATTTTAGGGCAATATTTTGTTATTTTGGGGTAATAAATATACGTATATATTTTACTTATTTAAAAAAAATAGTTAAAAGCAATATCATGAGCAACCGGAGTTGTTGTGTTGTAAATTGTAAAAATACTAGCAAAAAACAGTGTATTTTATAAATATTCAGTAGCAAAATAGAAATTAAGTCAAAGAAATAAACGTACCTATAATTGCAGATAAAAAGGGAAAAGTAATTACAAACCTCTATTTTTGTAACAAAAATATCTAATACCTATTGAAAATACTAGACATCAGAAAACTGAAAGGTTTTATGTACTTAAATTATTATTATTTTACGATTTTCTTCAAAATTCCTTAAGTACATGTTCAAAATCGAAATATTTCTGACTTTGTGAATCTGGAATACAATTTTGTTAGTAACTAAGAGGAAAACAGTTATCTAATAATTAATTCTGTTTTCTTTCGAACTAAAAATGATGAATACAAGTACAAATAACATTCGAAAATATTACAACTATTTTTTGGGATTAAATTTTGAATACACGTTTGACATTAACCTTCAACTTAATTAGGCAACTTTTCATACACTTTCTCGTAAATACTATTGCCTAATTACTTGTTCTGTGCACATGTTTTAATAATTTTTTTATCAAATATACTTATTTTTCTTTAGCTAAAGTAATAAAAAT